TTATGGGAATTAGCTTTCCAAAAGATTCCCTATGAAAAAAAGAGTAAAGATGAAATTATTACTCACGTTATAAAGGGCCGTAGAGAAACCCAAGAAATTCCTGGATTGGACTCTCTTGGCGTTCAAAGAAAATATTCAAGAATCATTACAGAAGGTACTAATATCAATTATTACTTTATTTAAATGATTTCCTATTCATGAACTATGTACTAATATTTATAAAATCCTTGATTGAGTAAAGGATGGGAAAATAAACCAGAAAAAAGGATTAGAATGGAAGAAATTCTATGGAGATTTTCAGATATTGAAGATGAACTTACTAAACTTAAAAAAAATAATTTGGGTTCTGTCCGTTCATCTGTTCGTTTTTTAAATCCAAATGGACGCAATACAAGGGCTGCTACAAGAGCTATTTCAAATCCGGACAGGCCTAATTTCACGATCAATGCAGAGTTTATGAAACAACGAAGACAAAGCGCTTTTGAACCATCCAAAAAAATGGAAAGTCAGTCGACACCAACGACACCATCCACACCGGAATTTTTAATAACGTCATCAGACGATGATACTTCGTATTCAATAAAAAGTGATGATGCGATTGAAACACTAAATGAGACTTCGAATTCAATAAAAAATGATGATACGATTGAAACACTAATTGAAACTTCGGATTTAACAAAATTTGATGAAGTGATCAACATCTTAGCCATGCCCGAAGAATTTAAAGATATAATGTCTAATCAAAAGGATAATGGATCTTTTGAAGTCAGCGAGACGATTTGTAAAGAAATGAACGTTCCCATTATAGAAATAATACCTACATTAAAGAAATTCACACAAAATAAGAAACTACAATCTTCAGAATCAGATTCATGGTGGAAAACAGCACTTACTCTTAGTTACTTTAAAGTCGTTGCACCGCATCATGAAATACAATGGAAAGATAATTGCAACAAAGCTCTCGAATACCTTTCTAAACAAATTGGAGATGCTACTGTTGAAAAAGAATTATTAGATTGCACTGATAAATATGTTTCTGGTAGTCTTGCTTCTTCAGAGAAATGTACAGAAATTACATCTAAACAGGAAGAGGATGGCAGCATTGAATCAGACGTTCATAAAGAAAATATTATTAATAAGATTAAAAAGAACATTACTATCAAAAACCTTCAATTACCTGAATTTTTATTAAGTCTTGCATCCGCCGCCATTCATCATTCATCTCAACATCAAT